AAAATGGACAAGCTTTTGAGGAATCCTAGAATACCACGCTCACATTCCAGCAAAGCGAGCAGGGTCGGCCAGATTGAGGCGCAGTCGTCTTTAGCGTCGCGATTGCTACGTCATTGCTCTACCTACACTGATGAGATGTGCACTGACATTCGAATCAAGTCTCTAGAGGCCGTATGCAGGTCAAACAGACAGGCGCGCCCTCGCCACCACTCTATACTTCAATATCAAATAGGCTCACCGCATAACGGGAAGGCCGTTTGATTAAACCGGTGCAGTTTGCCGGCCACCGGTCACCCACTTGTGGAAACTGGTCACCAATTTGAAGAATCGGGCGACCCGTTTGCCCAAACGGTCACCGGTATGGCTCAAACGTGTGACCCATTGCACAAACAGGGGATCGGGAGGCTATACCGTTAAAGGTATGAACCCGATTACTATTATACAGGTTCCACGTGTTTTTTAGAGCGCAGCTCTTAGGCGCCCGTTTCCGGCTTGAGTGGCGTCGGCGTCGCCATCGCCGTCGCCGTCGGCGTAACCAAGGTCACCCCAAGGTCACCCCAACGTCACGTGACCCCAGGTTATGTGACCCCTCCCTAGGTCACATGACCCTCCGAGGTCACATGACCCCTCTCAAGGCCACCTCAAGGTCACGTGACCCCCCAAGGGCACGTGACCCCCCCTGAGGTCAAGTGGCCCCCCTCCCCGAGGTCACGTGACCCCCTCCCCCAAGTCACATGACACCCCCTTCCCGAGGTCACGTGCCCCCTCCCCCGAGGTCAGGTGACCCCCCGGAGCATATTAAAGCATGAGGGGAGGAGGAGGAGAAAGAGGAGGAGGAGAAGAGGGGGGTCGATTCTCCCCTTAGTACCCTTCTCTCCTCCTCCTCAAGAGCTGCGCTCCAATTCGGCATTACAGGAAGTTGTAAACGGCTTTCACTTTTTTTTTCTGCAGGATTGAAGAGCACTGAAATAACATTATTCGGTAGCCGACTCTATTCTTGACATGTACGCGGAACAAAAAAGTATTCTAAAGCATAACTTCTACAGTCAAATTTTCTGTTTTCTTAAAGGATTCGACATCCGTGAAATAAAATATGACGAATACAAATATTTACTTTTGTCCAATCTTGTCATTTTTCAATATACGTTATGCATTAGCTATAATCAAAATCTTATGCTAGAAAAATACAGTGGTGAAATTAAAACTCATCGTTCATAAACATGATGCCTTCACCGCACTCACACCTTCCTGAAACAAACCTAGCGCATTTGTAGTTAACACTTACAATTTTATAAAAAAAAACACAAAACAAAAAGCTCTTAAATTGAACAGGGATATTCAAGGATTCGTCAGGCACAGTAGGAACAAAGAGTTTTTTTATATATTTGAACACCACAGAAAAAGAAACGCTCACACTGACACGAGTTTGAGGCATAATATTTCTCAGGAACGCAGAAAAGCCATCGGAAACGACCAACCTTCCTCCGGTCACGACGGGCGCTAGGCCAACACAATCGTCCAAGCGGGCACACAAAACACTTGGACGGTAATGCCACCTTTGAAATCGTAAATCATATAACTGAACCTGACACGCACAAAAAGAGGATACCGGCACAGTCTGGCCACTTTAACCTAAGTAGGTAAAAAACAAACCATTCACTTCGAAAACATGATGTTTTCAGACGATCCCGACGTCGGAAAGAGCACTCGTCGTATTAAAATTATATTTTTAAAGGCGTGATATCAGTGACGGCAGGAAACGAATAGTAGGGATCGGTTAGCTGAGTAAAATAACGATATGAATTCCTGGAGAAGAGGATCAAGGAGGACAAAGGGCAAACATCAATCTCCACACACTGCTAGGTGACTGGTGCGCGACTAGAAATATCGCCTGGTCCTGATGTCGCACCAGGGACCTCTCCATTTCCAGTGGAGCGCTCTATTAGCTGAGCTAGCCAGGAGCTAGACGCCAGTAGAGCAAGCTGGTTTTAACAGCTGACACCTGTCAAACACCAACAAGGCTGAACGGCTTGCATTTTGAGGCTATGGTGTTAATGCAATTAATGTGAGGGTGCAGCGAACAGGACAAGAGTAACGATAAGAATCCTTGGAGAATGGGAACAAGGAAGACAAACTTCAAACACTTTCTTTGAGGGGCATTTTCTCCTGAGCTCATATTTCGCTGCCCATTATACTATTTTACATGCCGTATATCGGATAGCCATAAGCAGACGATAGGAATACCACATATTTTTTAAATCGTATATTTGGTAGGCGCGGAATTCTATACGTACTACAACATTCTAACTATAACGTGCAAGTTTTGAATCATGGCGAACGTTCGAGTTTTTTCCCAGTCGTATGTAAACCGACACACTTCTCCTGAACGGAAAAATGGTCAGAGTGCAGGCGAGCTGGTGAAAGTTGAACATGATGGTAAATCTAAGACTGGGGTAGAAAAAAACGAAAAAGCAAAGAAAGACAGTTATATATATATATTTTTTTTTCTGTTTGCTCTTTGACTATTTTGCCGTTAACGTGTGCTCGATAGGTGTATTTAGTGTCCAGAAGTTGGAAACTTTATCTAGGGAGTACTTGCGCGTATTCTTCAGTAACACCTGCTATGAACCTAAGATTTACTCGAGATGGTTGTTCAGATTTGATCGATTGATTTACCCTGGAACCTACAAAGCACAACTGCTGAACAGCAATTATACTTTCTAGCTTACATAAATTAACAGTTGTGCCTAAAATACTAACCAACAACTGTTTTTTTATTATGCCACGAATTTCAAAGCAATAAGTCGGGATAAGCGATTGTACTCCACTTGCCAAACGGTGTTTATTCAAATAGGCTCTGTCATGATATATTCACTGAAGACGTTATTTAGTAGAATGCCACGTGCGGTAAAGCGTTGATTTATTTAATATCTTGGTAGCCGTTGTCGAGCCAAGTTTTCAGATTTGAAGCAAAATATCCTGATTTCAATCAGAGATCTTTGAAAGAAGATTAATGAAACCTCGAACCCCCTGTGTTGTCTCGCTCTGATATTCGTCAAGTAGGAAATCATCACAATTTTTATGCAAGGTCATCCATTGAAAATACACTGATCTGGCTGTTATTTCTAATCGGGGACACTTGATATATGATATAATTATTATTGTTCTTGATTGACGTCCTACATTTTAGATAGACAGGGTGCAGGAGTTTTAGGCACACGTTGGGACACCCTTCTCACTTGAGGGTTGTGGGTTATGCTTGCCATCTTCTAGCAATGTAGGCGAGGAAAATGTCTCAGTCATTTTGGCTTCGTGTCCTTGACAGATCTTCAAGTAGCGAAGCAGTGTAAATATTCAGGTCACAGGTGGGTGGCAGTTGTGACAAAAGAATTAGAATATACACATATACGAGTGTCGCTAAAAGAAGTAAAGCCTCACATTTTTTTTTCTCTTCTAAAAACAAAGAAGTAATATGAAAATATACACTTTGCAAGATTCATGATTGCTGCATACCCGTATGTAATTTCACGTCCGTTGCACTAATACCGATATTGTAATAGTTTGTGAACATGCTGTCAATGTCTGTCATTCGTCGGAAGCAACGAGCTGTAATTGAGTTTTTGTGTCAAAACATAAACTACGAGAAAAGTTCCTAACCACTTATTCGTAGTTTATAAAATATATGCACTCGATAGGAGCCATGGCGGGATGCTAGATAAAAATAATGAAAGCTTCGGAAGGTTGCGAGATGGAGTCGCGCGATCGGTCGCAGTCGGGGCGACCTGCCGCTGAAACCAACCCAGACATGCTGAGTTCATATTTGCGTCGATGAATTTATTCATGCGAATTGTGACATTACAAACCGATAATTGGCAGTTGAAATTTCAGTCACGAAACGAATTTAATGCCAATTATCGAGAATACCGGTATGTGTCGCAAAAAGAATCGAAGATTTTTTTTTTCTGCATGACATTGCCCGCCTTTACAAGTCTCAAAACCAGGGATGAAATCGCCAACATATGTTTTACTGTACGCTCTCATCCTCCCTATCAGCCTGCTTTGGTACCGTCATATTTTTACCTCTTTAGGCCAATAAAGAATGCACTGCGGTGAAGAAGGTTTTAGATTAACAATAGCTAAACTCGTAGAGTGAGAACGCTACATGAGCAAAAAACGAGCTGGCAAGCGAAAAACATGCATACCCTTGTTCGACGATAGCGTAAAGTCAGAAAATTGAGTAGATGTTATGCAAACAATAGCATTATGCAAGAAAGGTTGAGTAATATTTGGTGTAAATTTTATATTTCTAATAAACTTTTTTTGATAAAAGAAAATGCAGGACATTTCTTTCTGAGCACCCGCGGTAAATAGCGGGCTCAGACAAGATTTGCCTGAAGGGGACATATCAATTCCTCTCTATCTTGAACCGGGAAGTCTTGATATCTTCAAATCAAATGACCTTCGATAATATGCCGATACCAATACTGTTCGATAAGGAGTGTCCCATTCCCATAATTTCAATCTGGTATCACTAATTCCTCGAACTACATCGTGTAAAGCATGCTATACCTTCTGCAGCAATACAACCTAATATTACAAGGCTGATCAAGCCCCGAATACTGCGGAACGACGTGTAAAAGACCTCCAAGCAGAGGAATATATTGTCATGAAAGAAGAAGAAGTTCGGTGGCTCCGGACAGATCAGGAAGTGAGGAGGTAGAAGTGAAGACATCCTGACAACTGCCACTTTTCAAATGCTTCCCATCCCTCTTGTATATTAAATCATTTCATTTATCACCGTGACATTTTGGTGGAGGTGCGAAGCCATCCCCCTGACCTCTTCTACACCACACTGGAACTCCGGAACCGACAGCTACCGACTTCAGTCCAGATGTCTACGTCGAACACTCCACCCGAGGAAACTCCTCCTTCGCCATCACCGGCCCTTGTACTCTCAAAACCGCGTGACCCAGGAAACTTCAGCGGATCCGGTGAGCAAGATGTCGAGGAATGGCTACTACTTTATGAGCGCATCAGCACGCACAACCGGTGGGACCCAACCATCATGCTCGCCAACGTGATTTTTTACCTCAAAGATACAGCCCGAACCTGGTTTTTAACGCATGAAGAAGGCATCACCTCGTGGGACACGTGCAAAGAACAACTCCAACACCTTTTTGGCGACCCGATCGGACGAAAGCTCTCGGCTAAGCGGAAGCTTGCTTCGCGCGTGCAGACACCCACAGAATCATACATAGCGTACATCCAAGACATCCTTTCGCTCTGCCAAAAAGCTGACCCCAACATGCCTGACTCTGAAAGAGTGCCTCACATCTTGAAAGGCATTGCAGATGATGCATTTCAACTTTTAGTTTTCAAGGATTGCGCAACAGCAGATGCAGTTATCAAGGAGTGCCGTCGATTCGAAGAGGCGAAAAAACGTCGCATCACAGCGAATTTCATCCGCCTCCCGAACACAGCACCAACATCATCATGTGAGGACCCAACTTCTCAGAGTCATCATATAGCAAAAATTGTCCGACGTGAACTTGAAGCAATGTCGCCTTCCAGTTCTCTACATGCACCTGCTTAACCGGAACCCGCCGTGCCCATATCAACTGTGCAAGCTATTGTAAGAGAAGAAATGAATAAGTTTCACGCACCGACATACACAACCGGGCGCCGCTTCCCTCTTGTCCACCAGACTCCTAACTCCCCTCCCCCTGGCAACTTCTCGTACCGACGTGACCCCGCAGCCTGGAGGACCCCTGATAATCGACCTATATGCTTCCATTGCAGCGGCGTGGGCCATATCCAACGCTACTGTCGAAACCGGTCGAGCAACGGCCTCCGATCATCCGAGTCGAATGGTTATCGTCCCTCCTTTGACGGCCGATTCCGTGGCCGTCCAGGTTCAACACGTTCAGACGACAACCAATACACTATGGCCTCCCGCAACTGCCGTTCTCCGTCCCCACTCCGCCGCCAGTCATTGTCCCCAGCGCACCGCCGCTACATGTCGCCGACCCGTGACCACGCAGCATCGGAAAACTAACCAATGCAGCTTTTCGAGGTAAGGCTGCATCGATGTCATTGACCCGAAACCCTCTCAACAAACACTCCTTAACAGTTCATAATCAGCTTCGTGTATCTATCGACGGAATTGCCATATATGCTCTCATCGACACCGGTGCTGCTATTTCTATAATGAGAGAGGATCTACGACAAAGACTTCATAAAGTCTTAACGCCGCCAGACTCTACATCTCTACGCGGCGCAGATGGTCATCTCATATCTTCTCTTGGCATGTGCGGTGCACGTATTGCCCTAGAAGACAAGAAAACGTTCGTCCTTTTCACCGTCATTCAAACTTGTCCCCACGCTTTGATTCTCGGATGGGATTTTCTCTCCGCCCACGCCGCTCTCATTGACTGCGCCACAGAAAATATTGAACTCGACGTATCATCCCCAGGCGAGCCCCAGCCGGTAGTTTTAAAGCTATGTTCAGTCGAAACATGCCGAATTCCACCTCTTCTAGCGGTTCCCGTTAAGGTGTCATCAAATAGCCCTCTTGTGGACGGAGATTATATAGTGTCTCCAAGTATGGACGTATTATTCACCAAGCAACTCAGTGTGGCCCACTCCATCGTTTCCGTCCTCAATGGTTCCACTTCCCTCTGGGTCGTTAACATTTCCCAGAACCCACAACTCCTTGCAAGTGGAACTTCTCTTGCCATCACATCGCCGTTGTTCTCCGGAACACTATCTGTTAATGCAGTGGATCAGCAACATGATCGCCCAGGTTCGCCACCAATCTCCGACCTTAACAAAATAACGGCTATGATTGACTCTGGACTGGATACCACACGGAAACATCAGATACAAAACCTTTTGCTCAGATACCGCGACGTTTCCGATTTGGGAAGTCGCCCTCTAGGACGAACGACGGCGATTAAACACCAGATTAACACCGGAACACATCCACCTCTACATCGGAGCCCTTACCGCGTTTCCCGCAGTGAACGGCGAATCATCCAAACAGAGGTCGATAAAATGATTGCACAAGACATTGTACAACCATCCTCAAGTCCTTGGTCATCCCCAGTCGTTTTAGTTAAAAAGAAAGACGGGTCCTGCCGTTTCTGTGTAGACTATCGTCAGCTAAACAAGATCACAAAAAGAGATGTGTATCCATTACCTCGAATTGATGATACCTTGGACTCCCTACATGGTGCAAACTACTTCTCCACTATCGACCTTCGGTCCGGATACTGGCAAATCAGCGTGGACGACTCAGACAGAGAAAAAACGGCTTTCATCACGCCAGACGGGCTTTACGAGTTTAAAGTCATGCCCTTTGGGTTGTGCAACGCCCCGGCCACTTTTGAAAGAATGATAGACCGACTTCTAAAACCCCTAAGGTGGACAACTTGTCTATGTTACTTGGACGATGTGATCATTTTTTCTGACTCCTTCTCATCTCACCTCGAGCGCCTAGATCACGTCTTGAACATTTTCAAGCAAGCAAATCTTCAGCTAAATTCGTCAAAATGTCATTTCGCTGCCTCCGAACTCAAAATGTTGGGTCACCTAGTCAACATGCACGGCATCCAACCAGATCCAGATAAGACAAAGGCAGTCCAGGAATTTCCCACACCACAGTCTCCAAAGGATGTCCGAAGCTTCCTTGGACTGTGCTCATACTTTCGACGCTTCATCTACCAATTCGCCCACATTGCTCAACCTTTGACGCAACTCCTCAAGAAGAACCAGCCCTTCCTATGGAAAACAGAACAGGACGTCGCTTTTACTCGTTTAAAGGACGCTTTAACCACCAGTCCCATTTTGGGGCACTTCGATGACTCTGCTCCAACTGAACTGCGCACGGATGCCAGTGGTCATGGCATCGGAGCTATACTAGCCCAGCAGCAGTCGGGACAGGAGTGCATAATAGCTTACGCCAGCCGTACTCTTTCCCCAGCAGAGCAAAATTACACAATAACCGAGCGTGAGTGCCTTGCGGTCGTATGGTCGATCGCAAAATTTCGCCCATACTTATTTGGCAGGCAGTTCTCTGTGATCACTGATCATCATGCCCTCTGCTGGCTCTCCTCCTTGAGAGATCCCATCGGCCGCCTTGGACGCTGGGCCTTACGTCTCCAGGAATATGATTTCAAAGTCATCTACAAGTCCGGAAAACTTCATCGCGATGCTGACTGCCTATCTCGTCATCCCGTAGGCCCTGTTGACCAAACCGCTGACAACTCGGATATTCCTATTCTTCGCGTCTCTCATTGGCCTAACATCGCGGACGAACAACGCCGTGACCTCTTTCTGAAAAAAATCATAGAAGCAGTGACCACCGATGCCAACTCGCCATCATCCAGATATTACACGATCCAGAACCATATACTTTATAGACACAACTTTCGACAAGAAGGTCCATCTTTACTTTTGGTAATTCCAAAACACCTACAAAGTACGGTTCTCGGTGAACTCCACGACGCACCATCCGCCGGTCATATGGGTGTCCTTCGAACTTACGCACGCGTAAAGCAGCGATTTTACTGGCCCGACATGTACAGGACCGTCAAACGTTACATCTCATCCTGTGACTCCTGCCAGCGCCGCAAAACTCCACCCTTACGACCCGCTGGCCTTCTACACCCACTCACTCCCCCAGCTTCCCCGTTTGACCGAGTAGGAATTGACCTTCTTGGTCCGTTCCCAACTTCCTCGCTGGACAATCGCTGGATAGCGGTTGCCATTGACTACGCTACCCGCTATGCAATCACCAAGCCATTGTACAGCAGTACAGCCGTGGATGTAGCGCAATTTATTTTAGAGGAAGTAATTCTGAAATACGGTGCCCCTCGACAACTTCTATCTGACCGTGGCCGCCCCTTTGTGTCCCGAATTGTTGCCGAAATATTGAACCTCTGTTCTGTCGTTCACAAGAAAACTACGGCATACCATCCACAAACTAACGGACTTGTCGAACGCATTAAAAGGACATTGGCAGATATGCTCGCTATGTATATTTCCGCAGACCATCGTAACTGGGATTCCGTTCTTCCTTTCATCACATTCGCCTATAATTCGTCCCGCCATGACACAACAGGATTTTCACCATATTATCTACTCTTCTCTCGGGAACCAAATTGGATCATTGACACTCTTCTTCCAGTTCCAACTAATGCCGAACTCACCGACCACACCACACAAGCCATATGTCGAGCCGAAGAAGCGCGTCAACTTGCACGCCTTCGAACTCTGGACTCACAACAACACCAATCTGTTCGATACAACGAATCCCACAGGTCTGCCTACTATTCCCCGGGCGACCTTGTCCTGGTATGGACACCTAAGAGACATGTGGGCCTGGCACAAAAATTACTTCCACGCTACTCCGGGCCATACCGCGTCCTCGCCCGAAGAAGTGACCTCACCTACCTTGTTCAGCCCGTACAACCACCACAAAACTCACGCCAATCTTCAGCCGACACCGTCCATATAACAAGACTAAAACCATACCTACTACCACCAAACGGCGAGACGCCGCTTTCACCCGGAGGGGGGTAATGTCATGAAGGAAGAAGAAGTTCGGTGGCTCCGGACAGATCAGGAAGTGAGGAGGTAGAAGTGAAGACATCCTGACAACTGCCACTTTTCAAATGCTTCCCATCCCTCTTGTATATTAAATCATTTCATTTATCACCGTGACATTTTGCACAGAACAAATCTGACCTCTATACCCCCCTTCCCCCAATCAAGGAGAACATACACACACGCACACGCATTCACCAGTAGCGGAGCCTGCCGGAAGCAGTCACATGCCTCAACGGCTTTCTCTTTCACATAAAAACACACGCAGTCTGTGTCTCTTGGAATGTTCTCTCGCCTTTCTCCAGAATGTGTTCATCTCTTTCTGACAAAAACCCAACCGCATTCACAGTTGTTGAGGCCTGCTCTCATGCACGTGGAGCTATAGAAAGGGGAAAGAAATTCGCCGCCTGCTCCCTCCCCCCAGGAAAAAGAAGAAACTAAGAAAGAAGGAACTTAGCATAACCCTCTCGTTTCTAGCCCGCAAGACGCAATCCTGGGCAAAGAAGCTGCGCAAATCCCCGAGGGCAGCTTCGTTTGGCGATGGTTCTAGGAGAGAAGCGTTTTTGCGAATCGCGCTATTTGCATAGAACTCCACTTAAGTCGTACGCGGGGCATAGAGGCACTCGCCCTCTGCGGTGGCCCCTCCGCTTCTGGGTCCGCCCTCGCTTCATTGGTCTCCGTAAATTCTGCGGTCCTCTTCTTTCGTGATCAAAAGAAGAAAAATGCTTGCCCAACAAGCCCACGCTATATACAACCCAGTCGCTTCTGTGCAGCGGAATATTCCAAAATATAATATTCAGCATGCTCCTCGATAACAGCCTAGTTCATCTGTGGAATAGCGGCATTGGCCACTTAACTTTTATCGACGCTCGGTTTTATGTATTTGTTCGCCCGTACGGTGTAAGAAAAAGTCAATATCCTCGTTCAAAATTCGATAATTTTGAGAGGACTAGAAAAGTACAAAAAATAATCTCACCCTGAAAATTG